AGCGGCGGGGCTGCTGCGCTCCTGTGGCACGACAGCTGTGACATGCGACTCGGGCGAAGCAGCAACCACGAGGACCTCAGAGTGGTCCTCCTCGAGCCGCCCCCCCCCCTCTCTCTGCACCCCCCTTCGCCCCCTCCCGCCCCCTTCGGGAGCGGCAGAGAGGGGGGTGATGACTAGGGGAGAGTGGATATCATGGCGGGGGCCATGATATTTCCTCCGATCTCATGGCGCCTCTTCTTATTCCATTACGTCCCTGGCCCCCCCGATGGGCCGCGCGCATGCCGCCGGTCATGATTTGCACCCCCTCCCCCTCTTAGACACCCCCACTCTTGGCCGCTCCCGACCCCCACCCCGCAGGCTTCGACCCGAGCGATCCGACTCGGCATCGATCCCGGCTGGCCCGACCCGATCCCATGCCGACCACAGTCTGACGCTCCGCGGCGGCCCGATGTCTTCGTGGCGCTGCTGCGCAGCTGTGTGCGACCCGATTCGATCCCGACGCCGTGCCGATGCGGCCCGAGTCGGTGCACATTCCGATCTGGCCCGACTTCCCGATGCGATGCGGATGGATCCTGCCCCTGCCCCAGCCTGCCCCCAGAGGCCTCTAGAGGCGGCACGCGGAGGCCACCCCCTGGGGCACCAAAACCAGGCACCGGGACCCCCCAAACAAAAACTCCTGGCCCCTCGAGTCGGTAGCGTTCAACCAATCCCCATCCCCATCCCCATCGCCTTCGAGACCCCCACCGAATTACCACCCCATTTGGGGATGCACCCCTCGAAAGGAACCACCTCTATCCCCGTCTAGGGGGGTACATCTGCCAGTTGGGCCCAGGCCACTCCGCTGGGGATGGGGATCGGTTAAGCGATACTCATCGAGGCCGGCCCCCTGCCCCCCCCCCCTCCTGAACCGGGACACCTCAAGGTCCTCCTAGAGCGAAAAAGCAGCTCGAGTGAGAGCACCTTGCGCCACGGTCGGGGAAGCGTACAGTCGGGGCGTTGACCTAAGGAACCCTAAATAAGGAACGAGGCCCCTTTTTTCCATAAGTTAACCTTCGATTTCCCGTCGAAAACAATAAGGAAAGCCTGAGGCAAGCTGTGAAACACTTCAGGAACGCGGAGCCCCTCCCCAACGAAAAGGGTTCCTTCTTCAGGGCCCCGACTGTAAGACTCGAGTAAGCCAGGACTCGTGGTTGCCGACACTCTTTGAGGAGCGCGTCCCGGGTTTCGACGGTGCAGTTTCCGTGGGCTGCCCGCAGCGGGAGCGCGCGCCAAAGTATGCCGCCGGTCATGATTTGCACCCCCCCTCTTGGACACCCCCCCCATTGGCCGCTCCCGAGAGAAGCAGCAAACCGACGACGAGGATCAAGGGAGGAAAAAGCACCCGGACCGGACAATTGGCGTTTACTGGACGACCCGAGGCGTTTACGAAACAGCCCTGCCCTGTTCGACTCCTCCTCTGCGCGCGTTTACTATAGGCCTCGCGTGTCGGGGTGGTTCTTATCGGGGTGGATCTTCTGCCTTCCTAGAGTCAGGAGGGAAGAAACACACGGACACAATCCATCGTCGATTCCCCCAAAAAGATGGAAAACTATGGCGAGTGGGGGGAAGACGAAAACCCAACACGTATAGGAAACTATGGGGGATAGTTTTATGTGTGTGTATGTATTTGTGTGCCCTGGGGCTCCTTTATAGAGGAGGGGGCGGGAAGAAGGGCGGGCAGGAAGGCCCGCGAGCACCCCTGCGCCCGCGCACCGCCCTCGCCGTCTGGAAGCCGCGGGCGCGCCGCGGGCGCGCGCGCGCAGGCGCGCTGCGCGGGCGGGGGGGGGGGATGGGCCTGCTTTCCAACACCACCACCAGAAAGTTGGAGGGGGGAAGGAGGTGGGGACGAGGAGGAGGAGGTGGAGGACGAGGAGGAGGAGGAGGAGACGAGGAGGCGGAGGAGAGGAGGAGAGGAGGAGGAGGAGGAGGAGGAGGGGAGGAGGGAGGAGGAGGAGGAGAGGAGGAGGAGCCCTCCCCCTCCAACTCCTGTGGCGGTGGCGTGGAAAGCAGGGCCATCCGGGGGGGGGGGCGCGGAGGCGCCGCCGGATGGCGCCGCCAGGAGCGGGGGCGGGCCCTCGCCCGCCCTGGGGGGGGAGGGGGGGCGCGCGGGCCTCTCTCGGGGCACCCCCTCGCGGGACCTGCTCGAGGGTGGGGGGGGGGGGGGAGAGCACCCCCGCGCGGGACCTGCTTGGAGCCTGTTTTTTTTTGGATTCGGGCAAGTTTACTTGCATGGCGTTCGCCCCTCCCCCCCCCCCCCGCCCCTCTTCAAGCGAATACTAGCGTGCAAGTGCCTTTCGACTTGCGTGATTTCCGCGCCCCCCCGAACGTGCAAGTCGTTTGCGGCTTGCTTCAGGCTCAGCCCCCCCCCCCCGTCCATGCAAGTAAACTTGCCAGAGTCTAAAAAAAACAGGCTCTTGCGGGGGGGGAGCACCCCCGCGCGGGACCTGCCTGCGAGCGGGGGGGGAGCATCCGAGGAAGAAAAGACGGCATCTCGGTCGGGCACGTCTTCTCCACAGGAGGAGCGTTCAGAAACGGGGCGGGACCTGCCTGCGGGGGGGGGGCATCCGAAGAAGAAAAGACGACATCTCAGTCGGGCACGTCTTCTCCACAGGAGGAGTGTTCAGAAACAGGGCGGGACCTGCTCGCGAGCGGGAGCATCCGAAGAAGAAAAGACGGCATCTCAGTCGGGCACGTCCCTGCACAGGAGGAGTGTTCAGAAATAGGCAGGAAATCATCTAGGGGCGATGTTTCATCTAGGGCCTCTCTCGGAGCACCCCCGTGCGGGACCTGCTTGCGAGCGGGGGCATCCGAAGAAGAAAAGACGACATCTCCGTCGGGCACGTCCCTCCACAGGAGGAGTGTTCAGAAACAGGCTCGAGATCATCTAGAGGGGCGGTGTTTCTGCTATATTTTTTTCCATTTGGGGGGGTTTGACTCTTCTTTGTTTTTTGTCGACAATCTGCCTGTAGGGGGACATGCCCGATCTAAAACTACATAAACATCAACTTTCGGAGCTCTGCGCGGACTTCTTGGATCCGCGCTGGGCCCCCATGGCGGCGCCTCCGGCGCCGCCCCTGGCAAGAAATCCGCGCGGACCGCCGAATGTTTACGTTTATGGCGTTGTTTTCTTCTTATTCTAAGCATGCCGTAGACCGATCTACCCTTTCTCCGACACTGTATTACAACGGGCGCACATGAGAACGGCATGCCCGAGATCGTGGTGTCCTAGAAGCTCGTCGACTGGGCCCTCCAAGGCCTTTGCCTCTGCCCGGATGTTGAAGGGGGGCATGTCTTTCATCTCCCGCCCTGGGAAGGCTTCGGTCAGAGGTGGCTAGACCTCCTCCCCTGACACGTCGATTAAGGAATTGGCCGTTTTCGGTTCGCGAGGGGGCGTCGCGGCCGTCATTTTTGCGGGTCCAGGTCCGCCTGTTTCGGTCCCAGGCCGTTTTCATTAAGGGGAGGTATACTCAAAGGAGGTCTGTTCACCGCCGATTCGGGCTGCTGACGTCAACCGGCCCCCCCGGGTGGTCCCATCTGGCCATAGCAGGTCCCCCCAAGTACGGTGGGTTCGTTTGCCACCGCCACCACCACAAGTAGGAGGGGGAGGGGGTCCTCCTCCTCCTCCTCCTCCTCCTCCTCCTCCTCCTCCTCCTCCTCCTCCTCATCCTCATCCTCATCCTCATCCTCATCCTCATCCTCATCCTCCACCTCCTTCCCCCCTCCAACTTCTGCTGGTGGTGGTGGTGGACATCAGGCCCCTCAAAGTAGCACCCGGCGGTCTCAACACCCTGGCGCCGCCTCAGGAGGCGCCCCTGGGGCGCTCCGCGCCCCAGGGTTGAGGTGCCGAGACCGCTCCGGGCTACTTGGGGGGCCTGTGGAGGGAGGAGGGAGGAGGGAGGAGGGAGGAGGGGGAGGCCTGCGGGGGCCGGCCGCGACTGCCTGGGGGGGGGGTGAGGGTCGTCTGCGCGCAACCCGTTCGGGCGGGGCGAAGCGGGGGCTGAGGAGGCCCAGACGGCCGAGGATCGACTAGACGTAAGAGTGACCTTTCGCCGGAGTGACCTTTGGTGCGGGCACAGATGGGCCCTCAGATGGCTGAAAACGAAGCAGTAGCAGCGGCTAGCGCGCCTGGATTTGGCCTCCCCGCGGCCCCCCCAAAGCCGCGCACCAGAGGTCACTCTTACCCAGGGTCACTCTTGCGTATAGCCGAGAGGAGAGACGGAGGAGGCGTCGAGTCGACAGAGGCCAGCCTCTGGGCGCCTTCCTGCCGAGTCTGCAGCGCAGCCAGACGGCGCGGGCGACAGGGGGGGACTGGGAAGAGGGGGGGCACGAAGTCTGCCACATGCAGCTGCCTGGGCGGAGAAGGTGGCTGACTGCACCTATGTAGCCCGCTTCTTGGTTGTTCCCTTGGGTTCTGGGAGGCGTAGGCATTAGGAATCTATTGCAGAGACGAGAGCGACTGAACGTGAGGGCAACCGCGCCTCGCAGACTGCGCGGCGCAAATCGCGATCTTGGACGACCTGCGCATGGGGCTGGTCGGGATGCAGCAGGCACGGCCATCTTGAAGCTCGCTGAGGGGCAGTAAACGCGATCTGTGCTTCTGGGGCGACGGCGGAGAGGGCAATGATTTTGCCGGGCAAGAGCAAGCCTGAGCAGCCCAATCGTCGGCAAGAGCAATCCTGAGATTAGAGCTTCTCGCGAAGGGCGGCTGTAAGGATTGCTGTTGGCCGATTAAGCGCGCCCGGCGAGCGTACGGGGATCTGGCCCTGGAAACAGCGCTGCCCCCCCAGCGACCTTCAACGGCCATCTACGATTCGAATCGACTCGCAGGATGGGGCTGCGATTCCGATTCGATTCGGTTTTCTTCGGTTCACCCGCGTCGGCCAGGGCCAGCCAGAGCCGTGCGCGGCGACCCGATTCCGATTCGATCCGGGAGGATTCCTTGGCGATCCGATCGGTCTCCCATCCGACCCGATTTCGTGATTCGATCCAGCTCAGGTCCGACGGGGGCGACGACGAGGACGTGGACACTCTGGCGAGGACGACGACGACGACGACGACGACGACGACGACGACGACGACGGCGACGACGACGGCGACGACGACGACGACGACGAGACGACGACGAGACGTGACGAGGACGAGGACGAGGACGACGACGACGACGCCGACGACGCCGACGCCGACGCCGACGACGACGACAACGACGACGACGACGACGACGACGCTGAGAACGACGACGAGGAGACGACGCCAGTGCCGCGAGCGTCGACCGCGGCCGCCGCCGGCCGCCGCGGGCGTTGCCGTTGCCGCCGCCGCCGGCAGTCGCCCGAGGCCAGCAGCCCGCCGCTGCCTCTGCCGAGACCGCCGCCGTCGGCCGGCCGCCGCCGCCGCCGCCAGCGGCGGCCTGCGCCCGCCGCCGCGAGGGGGCGCGGCGCGGCGCGCGCCGCTGCTGCTGGCGGCGGTCGCCGCAGCCGCCGTGCGGCTCTCGCGCGGAGCGGCGCCCCCCCCCGCCGCCCTCCTCCTCCTCCCCTCCTCCTCCTCCTCCTCCTCCTCCTCCTCCCTCCTCCTCCTCCTCTCCTCCTCCTCCTCCTCCTCCTCCTCCTCCTCCTCCTCCTCCTCCTCCTCCTCCTCCTCCTCCTCCTCCTCCTCCTCCTCCTCCTCCTCCTCCTCCGCCCCCGCCGCGCTCCCGCCGGCACCTGGGAAGGAGGGGTGGCGGAGAGGGGGGGGGGGTGGCCGAGGTCCGGGCGGTGCGGGAGCCGCCTGGAGGCCTCGGAGGCCCAGCGGAGGCGAGCCGGCGAGGCGTCAGCGCTGGCTGGAACGCCGAGGGCTTCGGAGGCGTTCGGCCTCTCGGACTTGGAAGAGAACGGGAGGGGACAAAAACGCACAGACACAATGAATCGTCGATCCCCAGGAGAATCTAGGAAAACATGGGAAGTGGGGGGAAGACACAAACCTAGAAAACATAAGAAAGTGTTGGGAATTCTTTTATTTGTGTGTAGTTATTTGTGTGTCTCAGGGCCCCTTCCAGAGAAAGCGCCTTGAGCCACCCAAGCCCAGAGGCCTTGTGGGGCTCCCTAAGCCGCCTGCCATACAAGAGGCCTGGCGGGATTCGGGCCAGAGGACGCACGTCGCTCCCCAGGAGGGGGCCCCAGGGGTGCACCTTCCGGGTGACGTGGGCCCAGCCTGCAGAGGGGAGTTTTGAGGTGGAGGTGGAGGAGGGAAACGAGCTCCCCCCCGCCTCCCGCCTCTTCCCCGTCTCCTCCCCGTGTCCCTCCTCTACTCGCTCCTCCTTTTCTCCCTCTCCTCTCTCTGTCTCTCTTTCCCTATCTCTCCTCCCCTAGCTCCTCCACTCGCTCCATCCTCTCCCTTCTCCCCTCTCTCTCCGTTTGTATCTCTCTGTATGCAATCGTATCGTCTTACTCGCTTCAGATTCGGATTCGTATCGAATGGTCTTCCGCCAGTCCCGCTACAGTGCTGGGGTTGTGGGCCAGACTTCTCAGGGATGTTTCTTGGGGTCTCGTCAGAGGGCTCTCGGGAACCTCGGAGGGCAGTGTTGAAGCATCTCGGGAGCCTCTTGAGGGCCTCTTGGGGTTTCTTTGGGCCTGTTGGGGGCCTCTTGGGGCTTCCTGGGGGCCTCTTGGGACCTCCTGGTGGCCTCCTGAAGGCCGAGGGCCCGACATGTTTTTTGTTTTGGTCACCCGTCTGGGTCTCCTCGTGGAACCATCTTAGGGGTATTTTTGGCTGTCTTGGAGGCCTCTTGGGTTCATGTGGGGGCCCTCTTGGAGACCTCTTGGGCCGTCTTGTGGCGATCTTGGGGGCCTCTCGGGCCGTCTTGGAGCGTCAGGAAGCCGAACAGGCGAGAACGCCGAAGTCCTATAACAAACCGATTGGGAACCACTGAATGTGGCCTCTCGGGGCCCTCTTGAGGGTGCTCTTGGAGGCCTCTTGTGCCGTCTTGGGCGCGTTTTTGGCCGACTTGAGGCCATCTTGGGCGTCTTGGACCGGTTGTTAGGAGTTTCGGGGCCCTCTTGGCCCGTCTTGGGGTCCTGTTGGCCCGCCTTGGGGAACTCCTGGTTTCGAACAAGGCACACGGGAAGTCGTGGGGAGCCGCGGGGGGGCACGCCAGGAGGTCAAGGAGATTTTTGGGGTCGGCCCCCTGAGATAATCATAAAGGATCGAGGACCGAGGCGTCAGGGATGGACCGAGGACTTGAGGACGCTCCAAGTCGTACCTCAGGGCACGGTGTCGAATTTGTGCGTTCGCATGAGTACCCGTCATACGTTTGTCGCAGTTTACGATTGATTGCCGTATGTTTGCATGCTTGATGGAGACCGATGTATGTGTAGCAATCGTGTCTATCATCATTATCAGCATCGTGGCTCTCCATCGATATCTTTATGCATCCTCTCTTTCCCGCTCTGCCTGCCTCCTCTCTACCTCTGTCTCTCTTTGTCTAGCCTTCTGTGTATATATATATGTATATATGTAGTTTATCTAGATATTTATATATGGATTCCCCTCTCTCTCTCAGCTATTGTTGGCAGCTGCGCCCGTTGCCAACTATCACTGTTGGCCGGTTGGGAGGCCTGGCCACCACCAACAGTGGTTGTGCAAATACCGAGAGTCGTCATCTACGCCAGAGGTCGCGCTCAAACATGCCCTCATCTTTCTCGCCTTGCATCGAAGTTAAAGGATATAGTTCCCATCCATCCTGTGGTGTTGGGTCCTTGTTTAGAAGGGATAGCGCACCGCGTTCCTTTCTTCCTTCCTTCCTTACTTCCTTCCTCTCCCACTCCTCCTCCTAGTCCTCCTCCTCCTCCTCCTCCTCCTCCTTCGCCTCCTCCCGCTCCTCCCTCCATCCCTCCGCTCCTCCCGCTTCTTCCTCCATCCTCATCCTCATCATCCTCATTCTCATCATCATCATCATCATCATCATCATCATCATCATCATCATCATCATCATCATCATCACCGCCACCACCACCACCATCATCATCATCATCATCGTCAGCAGCATCATCATTGTCATCATCGCCGTCATCGTCATCATCAGCCCTTCCACCACCATCATCATCACCATCATCATCATCATCATCATCATCATCATCATCATCACCACCATCATCATCATCATCATCATCATCATCATCATCATCATCATCCCATGCTGCGTCCCCGCCACCCATTTCGGCACACCCCTCACACGGTTCGTGGCACCATAGGGAGCTCCACCGAAGGCCCCAGTTGCACAGTTGACACGCGTCCCCGCCACCTATTTCGGCACACCCCTCACACGGTTTGTGGCCCCATAGGGAGCTCCACCGAAGGCCCCAGTGGCACAGTTTACGTGCGTCACCGCCTCCCATTTCGGCGCACCTTCCACACATTTCGGGGCCTCATGGGGTGCTCGGCCGAAGGTCCCAGTTGCACCGTTCGCACGTGTCCCCTCCACCCAATTCGGCGCAACTCTCACACGTCTCGTGGCCCCATACGGAGGAGGTCCACCGAAGGCCCCAGTGGTACAGTTCACATGCGCCCCTGGCACCCAGTCCAGCACACATCCCACACGTTTCGTGACCACCTAGGGCTCTCCACCGACGACGATGCTCACAACTGCGTTACTCACAACTGCATCTGGTTGGGTCCTTCGCCAGGCTAATTTGTTGGACGATTTCTGTATTTCGTGGCGTCGGGTGGACCTTCAGGGACTTGTTGACGCGTCCCGGGACCACCATCCTCATCACGCTTACGAACAAACATCTCATGTTGGTCATCATCGCTCTCGTCGTCCGCATCGCAGCCATGATCGATGAGTCCTCTCGCTTCGCGGGGTGCAGCTCCAGACCGTGAAGAGTACTTGGCATCTCGGGCTCCTTCGAGTACGCACAGTCAAGTCTTTGTGACGACTCCTACAGTCGGGTCCCTGAAGAAGGAACCCTCTTCGTTGGGGAGGGGCTCCGTGTTCCTTAATTGTTTCACAGCTTGCCTCAGGTGTTCCTCATGTTTCCGATGGGAAGCCGAAGTTCAACTTATGGTAAACAGGGGGCTCGTTCCTTGTGTAGGGTTCCTCAGGTCAGCGCCCCGACTGGACGCGTCTCCTGGGGGCGTCCTGGGCCGTCTTTCTTGGGCCCCTCTTGCGCGCCGCCGGGGATCCTCTGGAGCAAGGGCGCCCTCGAGGGCGCGAAGTTATTCGCGCTTCGCGCTTCGCGGTTCGGCTCCGATTCCTCCTCGTCCTCCTCTTCTCCCCTGGGAGGCGGCGCGAGAGCGCGAAGTTATTCGCACTTCGCGCTTCGCGCAGCGCGAAGCGCGAAATTGGGAGCCCTTATGGAGCGCCCGCGCGCGGGCCTCCCGGAAGCTCCGCGCGGGGCCTCCACGGGCCACCCGGGCCGTGCCGGGCCGTCCACTTTTGGGGCCCAGGGGGCGCCCCCCGTGCGGAGCGTATTACCTGGCATCGCTCGGACGTGTGCGTTTTTTTCCTCGGCGAGGTCAATCGAGTAGCATGCTTGATCATTTCGCGAAAAAACCACGCACGAAACCGAAAAAAAACACAGGAAATGGACGTCCGAGCGATGGCCAGATTGGAGCCTGGCGACGGTAACGCGTAGGGCATGGACCTGCGGGGGTCTTGCGGGAGGCGTTTGGAGCCTTCTCGGGGGCCCGTTGGGGGCACATCGGACCCTCGTCGGGCCCAGTGGGCGCCCCCCGTGCGAAGCGCATTACAGTGAGCGGCTTGAATAAGGAACACTCGCTTGTCAAAAGGGGCTCGGTCGTTCCTTAGGTTTTGCATGCGTTCTTTACAGTTCCTCATATGCGTTATTTGTTCTGCATCGTTCCTTGTGCGTTGTTCCTTGGGGTAAAAAAAAGGGGCTTCGTTCCTTATTTATCGTTCCTTAGGTCAGGCCGACGACTGTAGGGCCTGGCGACGGTAACGCGTAGGGCATGGACGTGCGGGGGTCTTGCGGGAGGCGTTTGGAGCTTCTTCGGGGGCCCGTAGGGGGCAGATCGGACCCTCGTCGGGGGCTATCAGGGGGCCTCCTGGGGCGTCGGAAGGGCGCCTGTGGGCCGCCTTGGGGGGGAGTCCGGGGCCGTGTGGGCCCCTTCGGCCCTCGGAGGCCGTCCGCGGGGCCGATGCGAGGCTCTCTCTTCGGGCCCTCCTGCGCCTCCTGCGCCTCCTCCTCCTCCTCCTCCTCCTCCTCCTCCTCCTCCTCCTCCTCCTCCTCCTCCTCCTCCTCCTCATGGGCCTTGGCGGCCTTCCGGGGCCCTCTCGGGGCCCTCTTGGGCCGTCGGGGGGCCCTCGCCCTGAAGGGGCTGCCCTTTGGGGCCTTTTTCCTTACCTCGGGGGCGGAAAAGAGGGGGGTGCTGACTAAGGGGGGGGGGGGATATCATGGCGTGGGCCATGATATGTCCCCAGATTTCATGGCGACTCTTCTTGTTTCATTACGTCCCTGGCCCCCCCCGCTGGGCCGCGCACATGCCGCTGGTCATGATTTGCACCCCCCCCTCTTGGACACCCCCTCTTGGCCGCTCCCGATTACCCCCCATTTGGGTCAGCCCCATTACCACCGGGCCGAGAGACGGAGGGGGGCGACGAGCTGGAGGAGTGATGGCGGGGACGAGACGGAGGAGCGCAGGCGAAAGCGAAGGACGGGATGAGGCGGAGGTCGATGAGGAGACGGGGTGCGGGACCACTGCATCACTATCTCTGGATGCAGGGTGGCACGCAACGGCCCGAGCCTATCACGAACGCAGTACCTGCAAACACCGCTCCCCCTTCCCCCCTTCCCCCTTTGGCCTCCCCTCCAGTGCCTCCGAGGCCTCCCCCCAGCCGCTTCAAACAGCTCCAGGGGGAACGAATGAGCGACGAGAGCAGCCCGACAAAGCCAGACTGGAGCATGCCAGAACCTGAGCGCGCGCGAAGCGCGCGCGTGACATATACACATGTCTCCCTCTCTCTCCCCCTCTTTCTCTCTCTCTCTCTCTCTCTCTCTGTCCCTCTCTCCCTTTATATCCCTGTTTCCTTTCGTGTTTTTCTGTCTACCAGTGCCTCCTCCTCGTATTCATCCTGCATTGCTCTTCCTTCCGCGCCACCTCCAACGTCCGTCATCCCCCGAGGTGCTCAGCTCAAGCAAGCTCGAGAGTTGCCTGAACGAAGGCTCTGAGAACATGGATGGCAGGGGATGGAGAGGGTGGGAGAGGGGGAGACGGGGAGAGGGAAGGGACAGGAAGGTGGAAGGAAGAGGATGAGGAGGTGGACGAGGACAAGGACGAGGGGGACGAGGAGGAGGTGCGCGGAGGAGAACACGGAAGAGGTAGAAGGAATGAAGAAAATTGTAAAAACGTTGACGATGACAAAGTGGAGGGGTGAGGAGGGGAAGGTGGAGGAGGAGGAGCAAGAGTGAGAGGAGCAGAGATGGGAAGGGGATGTAGGAGGAGGATCCGTGGGGAACGAGGAGGAGGAATGGAGAGGGGGGGTTAGGGAGGCTCCGCCCTCTGTGAGGTCCGACTTCTCGAGCAAATGCTACACAGTGAAGAATCACTACCAGAGCCCCAGGCCCAACCTCGCTTCGGCATTTCTCGAGTCCCGGCCTCCCGGTTGTGACGAAAACGCGACGCAAAGATCGCACGAGTTGCCCCTTTGTCTACTCTTCCTGCTCCCCCCTGCTCTTTACGAGGGAGGCCGGGTGCATTGCGCTTGACGCCGCATTTTGTTCACCACCGGGCGGTTCGCCCTGCTTCGGGGCCGCCACTCTCGAGAAATGCCGCAGAGAGATTGGGTCTGGGGCTCTGGTAGTGATTCTTCACTGTGTAGCATTCGCTCGAGAGGTCGGACCTCACAGAGGGCGGAGCCTCCCTAACCCCCCTTCTCCATTCCTCCTCCTCCTCCTCCTCCTCCTCCTCGATCCCCACGGCTCATCCTCCTGCATCCCCTTCCCATCCTGGCTCCTCTCATTCCTGCTCCTCCTCCACCTTCCCCTCCTCACCCCTCCACTTTGTCATCGTCAACGCTTTTGCAAGTCTCTTCATCCCACCCACCTCCTCCGTGTTCTCCTCCGCGCACCTCCTCCTCGTCCTCGTCCTCCTCCTCCTCCTCCTCCTTCTCCTCCTCCTCCTCCTCCTCCTCCTCCTCCTCCTCCTCCCTCCTCGTCCTTCCTTCTTCCTCCTTCCTCCTCGTTCTCGTCCTCCTCGTCCTCGTCCTTTTGCAATCTTCTCCCCCTCCACGCCCCCCCCCTCCTCCTGACGAGGGAGCGGCCGGGGGCAGTGCGCTCGGCGCGGGCGGCGGAGCCGGCGCCCCCCGCCGGCACGACCCCGAGGAGGGAGCAGCGGTGCTGCCTGGCCTCCCCGAGGGGGCCCGAGCACACGTCAGGAGGAGAAACAATTTCTGGTCGGCGGGGCGAGAGCGAACCTCTTCCGCTAAAAGCTAGGCGGGCTACGCACAGATTTAATTAGGGAGACAGCGCACAGGCGGGCGGGGCCTCAGGCGGCCGGGGTGGGCGGGGCCCGGGGTGCAGGCGGTGCCGAAGAGCTTCACAGGAGGAGAAACAAACACACACAGGCACACAAGTAATATCGTCGATTCCCCAGGAATTAGGGGAAAATATGGGAAGCGGGGTGGAGGACAACAAAAATATCAGCGGTGCTGCTGGGCCTCCCCGAGGGGGCCCGAGCACACGTCAGGAGGAGAAACAACAACCCCCGGACACACAATCAATATCGCCGATTCCCCAGGTAAATATTGGAAAATATGGGTAGTGGGGTGGAGGACAAACGAATGTCAGCTGCGCTGCTGGGCCTCCCCGAGGGGGCCCGAGCACACGTCAGGAGGAGAAACAAACACACGGACACACAATCAATATCGTCGATTCCCCGGAAAATATAGGAAAATATGGGAAATATGGGGTGGAGGACAAAAAATCCAGAAAATGTAGGAAAATACGGGGAGTCCTGCCATTTGTGTGTATTTCTTTGTGTGTCCTGGGGCCCCTTCAGCACGGGGTCGGAGGATCGCGCCGCAGCGCCGATGCATCGGCGATGCGGCTCGGTGTGGAGCCCGATGTGCTTCACGTCGGCGTCGCCGATGCATCGCCGACGTCGGCGATGCTTCGCAGGTGCATCGCCGGTGCATCGCCGATGCATCGCCGATGTATCGTCGATGCGGCGCGATCGTCCGACCCCATCTACTCAGACCCCATCTAGGAAGCCTCTAGTGCTAGGGTCTTTCCTGGTCGGATTCTTCCTTGTCCAGAGACACCCCCAGACGTCCTCGCGCCGCGAAAAATCACGACGGACGGTTGTGGTGAGTTTTTCCGCACCCAGGAGTCCTGACCGGGCCCTGGGATCATCAGAAAATGACTCGGGGTGAACGGCGGGTCCCCGGGAAGGGGTCCAGACCTTTGGAGAGCCATATTGAGAAAATGCCCCGACGACGGATGATTCCGGTCAGCTCACATTCTGGTCTCCAGAGGCTCCCAAAGAGTTCCAGCCGCATGCGGGGACCTCTGGGTACTCCTGTGAGAAGGCGAAAGCCCACCCCCACCCCCAGTCCCGACGCCCACCCCCGAGCCCGCGATCTGGGGGGTCGGGACTGGGGGGGGTTCTCTACTCCTGGACCCCGAAAACCCACCCCCACCCCCAGTCCCGACCCCCCGGATCGAGGGTTCGGAAATGGGGTCGGGACTGGGGGTGGGGGTGGGTTTTCGCCTTCTCATCGTGGACCCCGAAAGCCCACCCCCACCCCCAGTCCCGACCCCCCGGATCGAGGGTTCGGAAATGGGGTCGGGACTGGGGGTGGGGGTGGGTTTTCGCCTTCTCATCGTGGGGGGAGGGGAGGGGGCCCCTCGGGGGGCAGGACTGTGACAAGAAGGTGGTCCTGACAGTGACGCTGGAGCACGGCCAGCTGGAGACGGAGACGGCGCAGTTCACCGTCTCCGAGGAGCTCCGGGCCAGCGCCGCCCCGCTGGAGGAGGGAGGAGGAGGAGGAGGAGGAGGAGGAGGAGGAGGAGGAGGAGGAGGAGGAGGGAGGAGGAGGAGGAGGAGGAGGAGGAGGAGGAGGAGGAGGAGGAGGAGGAGGAGGAGGAGGAGGAGAGGAGGAGGAGGAGGAGGAGGAGGGAGGAGGAGGAGGAGAGGAGGAGGAGGAGGAGGAGGAGGAGGAGGAGGAGGAGGAGGAGGAGGGAGGAGGAGGAGGGGAGGAGGGGAGGAGGAGGGAGGAGGAGGAGGAGGGGGAGGGAGGAGGAGGGAGGAGGAGGAGGAGGAGGAGGAGGAGGAGGACGAAGAGGAGGAGGAGGAGGAGGAGGACCAGTGTAAGCCCAAGACGCATCAGCGATGTTGCAACAAGCCTTCCCTCCAAGTTCCTTCTTCACAGGTCCCTACAATCAGGCGATCGCAAACATGGATCGAGGGGGCGTGGATTAGCGACGGGCGGATTTCTGCCGCCGAACGAGGCGGCACCGGCCGCATTTTGGGGAGGGCACCTCCCCCGATCCATGGATTTGGCCACCGCGCGCCAAATCCATGGATCGCTAATCCATGTTTGCAAGACCCCGATATTGGAGGCCTCCGTGATGCCAGAAGCCGTCGAAAGGTACCAACGAGGAGGAAGAAAGGAGCGAGGAGGAAACCAAGGAGGAGGAGGAGGAGGAGGATATTCTTGGATTGTTTGTGGTTCCCGCATGCCTTTGAGGGCTCATGGCTATATCATGAGGCTACGTCGGACCTTCTTGGAGTAGTCGTGCAGCCGTCTTCGGTGTTCTCGGATCATCCTCGCCTTCTCCGAGGGCATGGTGGATTTTTTCGGTTGCAAGACAACGCCATCCTGGCCATTTTGGAAGCCACTGGCCTGTCCCTTTCAAGCAATTACCGCCGTCTCGGAGTGTACCTTGGGAGCCTCATGGTGGCGTCTTGGGCTTTCCGTGGCAGTCTTGGTGGGCCTCTTGGAGCTTCGTGGGAGCCACTCGGCAGGTTCTCGAGGCCTTCTGGGAGCATCTTAGGGCGGTAGGGTCGAAATTTCAGTTCGTGTTCGCGCTCTGGGCCTCTCTGGGAACGTTTCTGGGGCCGTCTTGCAGGCCGCTTGGACACTGGGTCTTTCATAACAGTCTCGGCGCCCTCCGGAGGGCCTCGTCGGCAGTTTTTGAGCAATTTTTCGGGCCTCGTGGGCCGTATAGGAGCGTCGGGAAGCCGAGGAAGGAGAAATGCAATCATCAGTCCCAAACCCACAGAAATTCAATACGTTGTGCCTTTTGGGGTCCTCGTGGGAATGTTTTCCAAGAGTGTATTGGAAGCATCTTGGGCCGTATGGATGCCATGTTGGGCGGCTTGGAGCGATATGTGGGGCCAATGTAGGCTGTCTGGGGCCTTCGTGGGTTATCTTAGACTTGGATTACCGAAGGCGCCCCCTGAAAAGGAAGGGGGGGAGTACATTCAGACCCGAGACCACCCCTGGGACCCCCCCCCCCTCCCGGATGGGGAAGGGACAAGAGGGAATTGGTTTCCGTTCGATTCGTTTTGTTTTTGTTTATTTTCGTTTTGATGAGCTTGGCGCTCCACGAAGGGTCTTGGGAGAGACCCCGGGAATGGAACATGTTATTGAATGACCAAAATACGCCCGTGGACGACGAACCCAAAACGAACCCAGGAGCCCCCCCTCACTCGCGCCGACCGGGTCGGCGGATTTCAGCGCCGCGAATCAACACCAGTGTTACTTCAGACAGTCCTTGATGTTGCCAGAACGCATGTCTTGGGACTTCAACACAGCGAATCATTGTGACTGTTGCGTCTTGACGGCCCCAAAACGTGCACCATTCCTGGGAACTACTTGAAACGACTTCAAGCCTTCGAAACGAATGCGTGGCGCAAAGGCGAGAGCCACATTTTGGAAAGGAAGCACCCTCCATGCTGAAGCATGCGGCAACCTTTTTGAGACGAAGTTGCGCGGCGCGGAGGCGAGAGACACAATTTGACAACGTCCCCTCCATCCGCGAATCGGTCGCAAAGTTTAAGACGACGGCCCGCCTTCCATCATCGAGACCGTTCCACAGGTGGAAGGCGACTGCGCGAGGCGATGAAGCGAGAGCAACCTTTTGACATCGGTGTCCCCTCCACCCTCGAAGCTATGTCAAACTTCACGACGAATCTGCACGGCGCTAAGACGACAGCAACGTTTTGAGGGCGGCCCGCCCTCCGTACTCACAGCTGTTGCGCACCGTCCTGACGGACGCGCGCAGCGCTTAAGGCGAGAGCCACATGTTGAAAGCCACACGGCCCCCATCTGCGAAGTGGTTGCAAGTTTCAAGTTTCATGATCATGGACGGTGATGAAGTAAAACGACACGAAGATCGGGACAACATCGGATCGGGATAACTCCAAATATCTGAGAATCGGCGGGTTTGGAGGATGTATTGGGCGCCGCGGCCGCTCCAGAGCGTTCCGGAACGCTCTGAGAGCGCTCCGGAACGCTCTGGAGCGATCTATCCCGATCCTAGCCCTGTTTTAGATGAAGTATCATGCGAAACGCCCGGCCCGCCCGAGTGACACGCCTGGGGGTGCGACTGGGAGAAATGGATCAGGAGAACGGTTGGAGGAGGAGGAGGAGGAGGAGCAGGAGCAGCAGGAGGAGGAGGAGGAGGAGGAGGAGGAGGAGGAGGAGTTGGAGGAGGAGGAGGAGGAGGAGGAGGCCAGCAGGAGGAGGGGGGAGGAGGAGGAGCAGCAGAGCGAGAGCAGGAGGAGGGAGGAGGTCGGTCGACGCAGCCACCTGGGTGACGGCTGGAGTGAGGAGGCGGACAGGTGGAGGAGGAGGAGGAGGAGAAGGGATGGGGTGAGGAGGGAGGAGGGAGGAGGAGGAGGAGGGGGAGGAGGAGGAGGAGGAGGAGGAGGAGGAGGCTGGAATGAGGGATGAGGAGGAGGAGAAGGGATGGGGCGAGGAGGTTGGAGGCGGCAGATGAGGAACGGAGGAGGGCTCAGGGGTGACCAAAAAATGGCAGAGTTTGTGTGCCAGCGCATTTTCTTTTGCGGCGTTGGGCGCCCTGGCGCGGACTGCCGAACGACCCCTGCAGCGGGGCACCCTGCCCACACGGTCGGCGCCGCAAAAACTGCGCGTTCAACGCGGGCGCCGCGCAAAGGACGCACCGAAACGCGCCGCGCGGGGCAGGAGGAGGAGGAGGAGAACATGGACCGGGCGCCTGGCAGTCCCGACTGTCCTCCAGCGGACGGCGGCCAGAGGGGAGCAGGAGGTGGGAGGCAAGACGGGAGCACTCACGGCGGGGGTGTCTTCTTCTTTGCGTTCTGCCCCTCGGGGCGTTTTTGTGCTCGGCGCCGAGGCAGTGCACAAGCGGCGTTGGACGAGCCCGCCCCTGGGGGAGGAGGGGCCGATGGCCCAGGGTGTCCAGCAGGCTGCTCCTTGCAACAGCCCAAGTTTGGTCCCCTGTCTCGTCCCCATCCCCGCTCTTCGCCTCCAGATCCTCTTGGGCATCGGACGAGCTTTCCTTCTTGACAGCGGAGAGATAAGCCTGTGTCAACATGGGCAGCCGCGAACTGAGAAGAGTGCTCCGATTCCCTAGCATACCCCTCATCCTAGATTGCCCTTGCCGTCCGACGCCCGTGCTGATCATCGTCTTGTTCGGCCTCCTCGACCTCTCCCCCTATCCCTCCTCGTTCCATTTGTCCTCCTCGTCACTTGTCACTTGTCCTCATGCCCATCCTCCCAGATTGGGCTAGATATCATCTTGCTGATCTTCCCCCCTTCCTCCTTCGAGGATAGAAAGGGGAGGAGGAGGAGGAGAGGAGAACGGAGGAGGACGGAGGAGGAGGGAGACGGTGGAGGCAGGGACCAAGGAAGAGGCAAGAGAGGGGAAGGTGAGAGGAGGGACTTCGACTAGGAGAATGAGGAGGGAGCCAGCAGCGCGGATCTTGCGGTCGACGGACAGGAGCGAGCGCATCCCGTCACTGCTGCATCAAATTGCTCAGGGTCCTATCTGATGCGGGCCATTTGCAATGCCCGGAAGAAGTCTGAAAACGGCAACGTTCGGCGGCTTTCCAAAAGGACCCGTGGTTGGGTACCCAGCGCGGTGCCGCTCTGATTGCGGGCGCGCCCCTCCCCGTCCCTCTCGCATCATGGTTCCCCTGCGGGCTGAGAAAATAGCCACGAGCCGCTGCGCCGGGCCTGCCCTGGGCCGATGACACCCCACGAGGATAGGAGGTGGACCAAGGAAGCGTCGATGGAATGGAGAAGCGGAGGGGGAGGGGAAGCAGCAGCAGCACCAGCGGCAGCAACGGCCACGGGGGACCCCCGCCAGCACAAACAAGCCGTCTTCGCTCGAGCGGTTGACGTGCTCCCGCGCTGCCTCTCCGTTCGCTGTCCGCGTCTCCGCGTCCTGCCGTTCCGTTCAGGTTTTCTTTGCCGGCCGCCCGCCTTGTATGGTTAAGTCGGGCCTGTCCCCCTACAGGAGGAATATTCAAAAATCCGCCGACCCTGTCGGCGTGTGTGAGACGCTTTCGTCCGCATGGTCGCCGCCATCCCTCCTGCAGCAATCCACTCCAGCTACTACGCCACATAACATCGTTGACATGGAGGTGAAGGCGAAGCAATCCACTCCAGCCAATACGAGGGATAACATCGTTCACATGTTCACATGGAGGTGAAGGCGAAGCCCTTCCCTTGGATCCCTTCCCGGGACGGGCGGGGGGTCCCGGGGGGGGGGGTCCCGGGGCATGGTCCCAGTGGGTGGTCCTGGGAGGGTGGTCCCGGGGGGGGCGGTCCCGGAGATGAAGGATCCCTTCCCAGGGCAGAGGGGGTGGTCCGGGGGTGGTCCCGGGGTATGGTCCAGGGGGGTGGTCCCGGGGGGTGGTCCCGGGGAGGGGGTCCCGGGGGTAATGTGATTGTTTCTTTACTAGGGCCCCCACTCCAAGAGATCCCCCCCCTTCTCTTTATCTCATCCCCCATCCTTCGCGCAAAGGATCTGGGGGTGGCCCCTGGAGGAGGAGGAAGAGGAGAGAGCAGGAGGAGGACAAGGAGGAGGAGCAGGAGGAAAAGCGGCAAAGACTCCTCCTCCTTTTCCTCCACCCCTCCTCCCCCTCGTCTTGCTTACCTCCTCCTCCTCCTCTTCCTCCTCCTCGTTCTCCTCCTCCTCCTACTGGTCGTCGATGTGCTTCAGGGTCAGCGGCATCGGCCGTCAGGCCGTCTCAGTAGTAACAAAATAGTCTGGGGACGATTTCTGTATGATTCGCAACATTTTCGGAGTATGGTGTGACTATTCAAAAATTTGTCTTCCAAAATCCCCCTGCAGTGGGACAGGCCCGACCTAAATGTGTGGCCGTCTGCTCTGCATGTCGACCCTCGCTGCACGCCCCGCGCGCACAGGTGCTGGACGGCGACAACGGCAACAAGCCCGTGCAGCTGCAGAAGCCGTGGCTGCTCACCTGGACACCAGATGCTCGAAGCGCTGCTCGACATGCTGTGTGTCTGTCTCCCTTTGAGCTCGGCGCACGACGGGGGCGGGATCGCTGAAACGGTACGGCATGGTGTTGCCGACAACGGCTATGGTAGTGACGATCAGGACAGTGATGGCTCCAGTAATCATGAAACGTTGGTGATTCTATTGATGGTCATCCGTATGAGTGCGAAGACGGCGTGCGACGTGTTCGATGCAACGTGTACCATGACTGCTCCGTTGCAGCTCCTCGAGCACTATTGGACTTCTTTCTCACCACGAGATCCGCCGCTCGCAATCGAAGTTAGTCTTTTCCAAAGCTGCCCCAGAGTGCGATTTGAATGCTTGATGAGAGCCCTGGCCATGCGGGGAGTGGTCCCAGAGTGTTTTTTGTCAGTGCCGTTGTGTGTTCCTGGCGTGGGAAGCGGCCCGCCAGAGTGCTCCCAGAGAGGCACCAGGCTGCTTTTTCGAGCGCTGCTTGAGCGGCGGCGGCGGAGGACCAAGAGCCCAGCGTACTGGCGCTACCCCCTGGCGTACGTGCAGGAGCGCAGGGCCGCAGGGGGGTCCGGGCGGGGGCAGGTCGCCGACCATCGGAGAAAAGCACATGGCATACCCATGCACTTTCGACGGTCCGCGCGGAGTTCCTCGGCAGCAGGTCATGGGAGCCTGGTGTACCCTCATGATGCCGTCTTTAGCGTCGACTGGCGTCGATCAGCGTCTGGGAGTGGGTGGCGCCGATTTAGCGTCGGCTGGCGTCGATTGGCACCGATGTGGCGTCGATTCGCGTCGATTCAGCGTCGACCAGCGTCGCTTCGCAAGAGCTGACAAGATGGCACGGGAGGCGCCCATGAGCTGCCACCGAAGAAGCAGGACGTGGACGAGGAGGACGTGGAGCAGCAGGATGCAGGGGCAGCGCGCCACCGTCGCCACCATTCTCTGGGCTCAGCGCAGAGCTGCAGGATCAGCCGCCAGGCGCCTACCAAGGGCTCCCTCGAGGGCGCGAAGTTATTCGCGCTTCGCGGTCCTCGTTCCTTCTCCCCCTCCTCCTCGTCCTCCTATTCTCCCTTTGGGTGGGCGGCGCGAGAGCGCGAAGTTATTCGCGCTTCGCGCAGCGCGAAGCGCGAACTTAGGAGCCCTTGCCTACAGTCGGGGCGCTGAGGAAAGAACCCTTTCCGTTTGGGAGGGGCTCCGTGTTCCTCAGTTGTTGTACAGCCTGCCTCAGGTTCTCCTCTGGTTCTCGATGGGCGATCTGAACCCACGGGAAAAAGGGGCCTTGTTCCTTGATTATCGTTCCCTAGGTCAACGCCCCTTTGCCTCCTCCTCCTGGAGGACGAGGAGGAGGAGGAGGAGGTCGAGGAGGAGGAGGAGGTCGAGGAGGAGGAGGAGGAGGAGGAGGGGGAGAGGAGGAGGAGGAGGAGGAGGAGGAGGAGGAGGAGGGGAGGAGGAGGAGGAGGAGGAGGATGAGGAGGGAGCATGATGGATCGCAGGACTTTGTCACCCTTGGCTTGCCGGCGCAGCCCCCGGGCCACCGAAGAAATGGGCTCCCGGATCGGCGCCCGGGCCGCCCTGGATCGGCGCCTCCGGGGCGCGGACCTCCGAGAAGCCGGGAGGGAAAACAACTCACACAGACACAAGGAATCGTCGACTCCCAGGAAGTGGGAAAAGGAGGAGGAGGAGGAGGACGAGGAGGAGGACGAGGAGGAGGAGGAGGAGGAGGAGGAGGAGGAGGGGGAGGAGGAGGGGGAGGAGGAGGAGGAGGAGGAGGAGGAGGAGGAGGAGGAGGAGGAGGAAATCGTCGACTCCCAGGAAAATAGATGGGGAAATATGGGAAGTGGGGGGGGGAAAACCAAAACACAGAACATGTGGGAACATATGGGGGGATCGGGTTCTTTGTGTGAATTATTGTTTGTGTGTCCCAGGGCCCCTTCAAAGAGTTCCTGCTCTAGACGGAAGTCGGGCCTGTCCCTCTACGGGAGGAACGTTCAAAAATTAGTCGAACAATCGTATTGGGGGCGATTTTTTTGGCTACAGTGGGGGCGCGCATGAAGAGACCATATGCTTTTCCCCAGGGTATCCTGGGTTTCTTCGCTCCTCGCGCTGCGCGGCGACTTCCCGCAGCCGTTGAAGGAGCTACTGCGTTCAGGGTGCTCCAGGTTTCCCTTCAGGTGCACCTCGCGCACGGGTTCTCAGGGTTGGGTTTCTTGCGAGGGTTTTTGGCGGCCGCACCCGCACTGTATTCTGGGATATTTTGGAACATGTTTGGACTATTGCGAACGCCTTACGGCCGGTGCCGCCAACCCTGAAAACGAGGGGGGGGCAGAGGGAGGAGGATAAGTGGGAGGTGGAGGAAGGGTGGAGGAGGTGGATGAGGGAGGAGGATGGGGGAGAAGGATATGGAGGAGAAGCAAGGGGAGGAGAAGGAGGCAGAGGAGAGCAGGAGGAGGGGGAGCTGAGGGGGGGGGAGGAGGAGGAGGAGGAGGAGGAGGAGGAGGAGGAGGAGGAGGAGGAGGAGGCCAGAGGCTTTCTCAGGACAGCCTGGGGCTCTCTTGAGGCCGTCTTGGGCCGTCCAGAGCTCCTCTTGCGCCGTCTCGAGGCACTCTTGGAGGCCTCCTGGGCAATTTGGGGCTCTTCCTGGCTGTCTTGGGGCAGTTTGGGGGCCCCTTGGGCACCTCTTGGGGCCTCTTGGGGCTTCATCGGGGCCTCTTGGGGGCCTCTTGGGGCTGAGAGCTCGAAATGTCTGTTCGGGTCCCCCGTCTGGGCACTCTCCTGCAGCCGTCTTGGGGGCCTCTTGGGCCGTCTTGAAGGCGTCTTGGGCCGTCTTGGGGCTCTCTTCGGCCGTTAGGGGACCCTCTTGGGGGCCTCTTGGGCGGTCTTGGGCCGTGGGCCGTCTTAGCGCGTCGGAACGCCAAAATCTTTCAAACACGTATGGGACATCCATGAATGTTGCCTCTTGGGACTCTCGTGGGAAAGTTCCTAGAGGCCTTTTGGGGGCGCTTTGCAGGCCTCTTGGGCCGTCTGGGGGCCGTCAAGGCGTCTTGGACAGATCGTTCGGCGATTCGGGGTTCTCTTGGACTGTCTTTGGGACCTCTTGGGGCACTCTTGTCCCGTCTTGGGGCTTCTTTTGGGCTCCGGGACTCCTGGGGGGGGCGTCGTATCTGACCCCCCCCTCCCGGGAGCCCCCCCCACCCGGCGGGGGAGGGATCGAAGGGAAGGGGCTTCCCTTCGACTCAATTGCGACATGGCTCAACTTCGCTTTGGCTGGCGCGCTGAGGAGGTCCCTGGGAAAGGGGGGGGCTTCGACAAGCCCAGGGAAAAGGGGGGAGGCAGGGAAAGGGGGCGACAGAGACGACGACCAACGAATGACGGAGGTGACGACTTGAACGGACAAGCCCCTCGCCAACGCCGACAGGGTCGGCGGATGACGGGAAGCGTCTTCGAGGAACGATAAGCGAGCTGGACGTTTTGGCTGAATCCTCCTCATATCAGTAAGAGATCTCTTAAATATCGGGGGTGGCGGGTCGCACGGTATACAGGCTTAGCGGAGTCCTCGGGATGGCGATTTTACGTGAGACATCTTCACAAAAATGAGATCTTCGCGACATCGCGTTTAACAAAAACAAGCGTTTCGCTCGAGACATCCTCGAACAGTTGATGATAGCGAAATGTCGCCGTCTGTGAAAATGAGCGTTTCGCTCAGGACATCCTCGAACAAATGAGATGACGACTGAAGTCTTTAACTAACTCTTATGTTAAGAATTGCGATTTCGCTAGGGACATCCTCAGAAAACGAGCGGCAGCACGGCAGAACATTTGCATTTCGCTAGGGACATCCTCAACAAAATGAGATGTCCTCAACGTCGTCTTGATATCGTTCTCGAAGTACCTCAAGATGACGAAATGAGAGGCCAAAAAGCACGTCAAGATGGCTGTCAGAACGATTGGGGGACTTCCGAAAATAGCGATTTCGCTAGGGACATCCTCAAAAAGTGAAAACATACACCAGCATCGACTTGACAACTGTTGTTCTTACATAGTTTTGACTTTGCTTCTGAAAAGGCTTCCAAACGGCCCAAGGCAGCCTTCAAAAAATGTCGATTTCGGTAGGGACATCCTCAAACAATTGATGCGTGCGACATCGCATCGTAATGATTTTAGGAGGGCATCAGGAAGCAAAAGAAGGCCACAACATGGCTCCAAGAGCGCCCTTAAGGTTGCTGAAAATAGTGATTTCGCTCGGGACATCTTCAAAAACATAACACATCGAACAACATCGTTTTGAAAACTGCTGTTTTAACATCGTCTTGGGATCGCTCCTGAAAAGGCTTCTAGATGGTTTAAGCCAATCATCTAGACATGACGATTTCGCTAGGGACATCCTGAAAAAATGAATGTGTGTAACATCGGACTGTAACGGTTTTGTAAGGCATCAAGAAGGCCCCCAAAGGCCCCAAACAAGCCCAAATTTGACCCCCAGGAGCGCCCTCGAGACGATCCATAATGGCGATTTCGCCTGAGACATCCTTACACAAATGAACTGTTCACAACATCGATTTCATCAAACATGAGCGTTTCGCCTGAGACATCCCTTAAACATGGGAAGCCGCGAATTCGACGGATGTTCAAAAACGAGCGTCTCGCCTGAGACATCCTAACAAAAATGATATCTCGGAGTGGCGTTTTTACTACCTCCCGTGTTAAAAATCGCGCTCCCGTTGCATACATCCTCAAACAATCGGGCGGAGCATGGCTGGCGAAACAAGAGCAAGGCAGAGAATGAGCAGCTCTGCCGTGCTCCTTCGCTCACGGGGTATAGTCTGCAATGCTCGTTGTTTTGTGCCGTCCGCCTTCGCTCTACGGGCCTATTATGCCATGCTCCTGGCCATGTTATGTCACAATCCTTTGTTCTTGGGGCTTATGATGCTCTGCTCCTGGTCGTTTTCTGCCGTGCTCCTTAGCTCTTGGAGCATATTCTGCCGTGCTCATTCGCTTTCGGGGTTTATTCTGCCGTGCTCCTTGTGTTGTTCTTGCGTACTCCTTCTTGCTTGGGGCGTATTATGCTGTATTATTGCATCTATCTTGTCGTGCTCCTTAGCTCTCGCGGTCTATTCTGCCGTGCTCCTGGTCACTGGTCGTGTTTTGCAATGCTCCTTCTTTCCTGGCGCTTATTCTGCCGTGCTCCTCAGCTCTTGGGGTCTATTCTGCCGTGCTCATGTTTTTTCTGTCATGCTCCTTCGCTCTTGGGGCCTTTTCTTCCGTGCTCCTCAGCTCGTGGGGTCTATTCTGCCGTGCTCTTTGTTTTTGTTTCTGCCTTGCTCCTTCGCTCATGGGGCCTATCCTGCCGTGCTCCTGGTCTTTTCCTGCCGTGCTCCTTAGCTCTGGGGTCTATTCTGCTGTGGTCCTGGTCGTTTTTTTGTGCCGTGCCCCTGAGCTCTGGGGGTCTACTATGCCGTGCTCCTGGTCATGTTCTGCCGTGCCTCTTCGCACTTGGGGCATCTTCTGCCGTGCTCCTTGTCTCTTGGGTTCTATTCTGCCGTGCTCCTCGT